TGGTGGTGGTGTGGGTGGTGGTGGTGTTGGTGTTGGTGTTGGTGGTGTTGGTGTTGGTGGTGGTGGTGGCTGCGGCAGCGGCAACGGCAGCGGCAGCGGCAGTGGTGGTCGTAACGCTCAATCACATGCTTGGAACTTGGGGACGGATAGCACAGGACGGATTTTGTGACGACGGCGGTGTGTGTTCGGAGGAGTAAAACAATGGCTGGCGCCTATCACTACCCTGGTGGTTGCTGCTTGATCCTAGCAGTCATCGGCCGGTCAGATCGCTAATTCACGTCAGTAACTTCGGTACAGCCAAGGAACCAAAGAAGGGTTTAGTACTAGCCTACGAAATTGCTCATCTAGACCAAATGGAGGAGAGTGGTCCATAGCCGGTCATCGTCAGCTGAGGGAGAATAGAGGCGAGTCAAAACCTGTAATCGCAGTAAGACAAAGTGCGTGGGGGACAAGCATGGATCGAAGAACGCCAAAAAAACATCCTAACAGAAGAAACGAGCAAGGAGGGACCCATAGGCTTATGCAGGTCTTCGGTAATGGTTCTATTTCACAAATCCCCCCAGAAATTTTTTTGGCTCTACTTGTGCCGACTGACCGGAATCTCCCGACTCTTCAAAACTGGACTATTATCTCTACGAATTTGGGATGTCGCTTTTATGACGGCTATGATTCCCAGTCTATAACAGGCCGTTTTAGACCGTTAGTCTACTCAAAGAAATCCTGCCAGTTGCAGTAACTCATGTAGTTGAGTTGCTGTGCGCTAAAATATGGGCCTGAATGAATGATTCCTACTTAAATCACTACAGCTTGTCCTATGCTGACTCATATTTATTTTAACTGCTGCACGAAACCGTTATTTATTTCCGTCAACTCCATGCTCTGGTGCTATGTCTCTCCGAGTGGATTTTTTTAGGGGGATGGGGGTTTGAGTCATCGAGATTACGGAGTGATTTTTGACGTTGTCGACTAACTCACGCGAACGCTGGATGAGAGCGGCTCTCCTGGGCAAAAGATGAAAGGATTTAAGCGAAGATGTGAGTTCCAGGAACTACAGCGGGCAACAATTCTCGATGAAGGGGAGAGCGGTTAATTACTACAGGTATGCGGTAGCATAGAGACTGCATCCTATAAATGCTACAACTTCCAGTGTACGAGTCACCCGTTTCTGCCACTGTCTCTGATGATGGGTTCAAGTGAGGATCCGAAACGTCAGGCAAATAAAGCCCTTGTTCCAGCG